GGTTTTTGGAGGCCAATCGAAAGGAAAAGAAAAGGGGGTGGGCTGGGAGGTCGAGTTTGTTCCCCGTGTGCGTGTTTGCGGTTGAAGAGGAGGAGGGATGGCGCCAAAGAGGCAGGCGACGAAGCAACGTGTGCGGGTCACCAACAAGGCCCTCGAGGCACGTCAGTTCTCCACCGTTCGTCTACCGCGCAAGGCGGAGATACAGGCGCCGCAGGTGGACGTGGAGCGCATGTACGAAGACCACGACCGTGGGAATAGGCGCGGGGGCGAGAAACGAGGCGGCGGCGGTGGTGATGCCGGTGGTGTTAATGCGCGAGAGTCAGCGCCGCTCATCTTTGACCCTATTCCGAACGATCCACTCTTCGTCGTTGTGGCGAAGTCCAAGTACTGGCCGCCGCCACCGCTGGAGGAGCTGCGGGCGGCAAACGGTGCCCCGATTGAAGATGGCTTTGACGCGTATGACCGTCGCGAGGATGACAGGGCGGCGCGGAGGGAGAGGGTGAAGGCGGTGCGCGGGGAACTGAACCATCCACGCGGAAAGCCTCGACAGAACACAATTGTGAAGTTGGACGATAGTGACGAGGAGAAGGATGAGAAGGGGTAATGCGCCGAGCGAAGATCCTGGCCACGCCGGGGGAGAGGGAGAGAGAGAGAGAGAGAGAGAGAGAGGAGAGAGGAGAGAGGCTCATTGTTAACGAATCGCCATTGCCTTAAGGGAATGGGAAAACGAGGAAGAACGAGGAGACATGCATGCGGGGTGATGTTTGCCGTTGATGGCAGGTTTACAAGTCGTGTAATTTCATTTCCACCTGGATAACAAGAGGAGAATAAGAGGAAGCGAGTGCGAGTGTGCGTGTGTGGGGGTGCATGAGTGGATGATGCTCTGGCAGTATTCTTGTCTCTCTCTCTCTCTGGGTATGAATTTGTCTATTTGCCACATGCAATTTCTTTCTTCTGCATGTTAATAAATCTTCTCACCATCGCCATTTTTGTTATTGTCGTCTATTTGTTCTTTTTTTTTTTTTGCATGCACGCGTATTCACATTCCACAATTTGGAGCGAATCAGGCGGTAAAGACGTGAGAAGCGGTGATAAATGCCATGTGGGGCTCTCGTCCGAGGTATTGCCGTAACGTGAAGGCATTGCTGGATCGCAGTGCTCGGTTTCTCAGCAGCCTCCTGCACGGCGTGCCAAATGCTTCTTTTTCACTCCGCCTCAATGCTCCCTCTCTTTGGGGCAAAAGTGAATGCACTCCGGAAGAATGGCAACGGTGTCTCGGAGAATTGCTTTGCCGCGGTGCTGCCGCGAACTGTTTGCTCGACACGAAGTCTCACGTGGCGGAGGTTCATGCGTCGCTGGTGGCCGCATTTCTCCCCAAACCCCATTGGAATAACTCTATCACGCACAGCATGGACATTATTTCACTCTCCTCGCTTGAAAAGGAAGTTTCGGACACTGTGGCGGCCCTCTTGCACCTACCGGCCCGTTTCTTGTGGGTCCGACGTGCGGAGGCGGTCATGAAGAAGGCGGAGTCTCACAGGACTCATTCATCCACGAAATTGCACAGTGCTTCTCCTGCTGCGCTGATCTCAGCCGTAGAGCGTCCTGTGCCTTATGTTGGTGCTGATGATGCTGGTGGTGGTGGACTGCTGCACAGCACATCGCTGGAGAGTCTTATTGTGCTCCTCACAACGGCCCGAGCGCAGGCTCATGCTCGTTATCTGAGTGCGCACTTCTCGAGCCCAGAGGAAGAGGCTCGCCTGTCGCAGCGGTTGGTGCTTTACTGCAGTGATCAGTGCCAGCCGATGCTGAAGAAGGCGGCACGCTGCATTGGCATACGACACATCCGAGTAATGAAAACAGTGTATTCTCCGCATGTTCACAACTACCCGATGCAGTCGGATATGTTGAAGGCGTCACTTGCGGAGGATGTTGCGAACGGACTTTATCCCTTATTGGTCTGTGGTGTATTTGGGGCCCGTACCACCGGTGCCGTGGATCCTCTTGAGGATCTGGCGGAAATTTGTCATCGGGTAAAAGTATGGTTTCACATCGACGCTAGTCACTCTGGATTGGCACTTGCGGCTTCCGCTGCTACTGCTGCGTATGGTTTTAGGGATGAAGCAGGAAAGCCTGGAGAATTTACATCTGTTGACGAGAAGGACGCAGCGGCTGAGAGAATGTGGGAGCAATGTACATCGACCTTTCATAGGGCTGCTCTGCTTGCGGACTCCATTCACTTTGGTGTTTCAACGTCGTTCCTGCCAACCCTGTCAGCCAACATTTCTGCTTCACTGTTGTACGTCGCGGATGTGGCCAAGGTGAAGGTGACAATGCAAGGGATGAATGCGGAGGATGAGGCGGGTGGGAACACGTGGTGTACGCCGGGTATGACGGATGTCGCTTCGTTGCGGCTGGATACTCCTGACATGCGTTCTAACGAAATCTTCCGTCTTGCTCTCATGCTTATGCCATGTAGTCATGCGTCTGTGGGTTCTGCCGTGCGAGCTCACCAGGCCGCTTTGCGCTACTTGGAACAGCGGCTACGTGCGGATGGGCGATTTGACTGCTCTTTGCATGCTTCCTGCTTTGGGATGGTGCTATTCCGCTGGCTTACGCTCGCGGATGAAGAGACGGCGGGCCTCATGCAACGGTGGAGCGACGTTATTGCCTTGTCTTCCGCAATGAACGAAGCCGGAGGCCACCGCTACCCGCACCGTGTCTCGTTAGGCCTCACGCAGGTCCAGCGGCGGGTTTACATCTGCGTTGCTCTTGCCGCAGACGGTGATGATGGTGATGCGTGTGTGAGCCGGTGTGACGTGGACGCGCTTGTGGATTTGCTGAAAAAAGCTGCCGATGAGTGGAGCGACATGTCGTCCTCCGTGACGTCCGCGATATCATCGAAAGCGACAACATGAGACGTTGTGAGGCGACATTAGCGTTTCTGACGGTATGCGATAGTGGTGTTAGGTATTCATATTATATATATATACATATACAAATACTTACTTCCCTGACCATTCTATTGTTTATTTTTTTTTTTTGGAGTGGAAGCGCCAAGATGTGAGCTTTGAATGGAATGTAAAGTGGAGGCTGCGTACTGTTTTTTTTTTTTTTTCGTCTTATTTTCTTGTTGATTTTTTTTTACTTTTAGGGTATTTTTACATGAGCCGAATTTCACCACCACTTTCCTCCGCAGTTTTTTCTCCTGCCGTGGCGTCTTCATCGTCGTTTCGTGTGGCCACGAAGTCTGCAGAGGTCACGTCGTGCGCTCTGCGCTCTCGACGCAGTTTCTCTCTTAGTGGTCTCCATGATGTCGGCGGTGGTTGTTGGAGGTGGCGTTTGACGTCTCTGGCGAGGATCCGCCACTTATCATCGAGGAGCCTCTGCCTGCATCACAGCGGGGGCGCGCTGAATAAGTTTGACGCGGTTGGATTTGCCGGGCGCTCGCGGAATGTCGCCAACGCCTTTGATTCACTAGAGATGAATCTGTTTGATGATCCCACGGGCGGGCTGACGGCGGGACCCGCAGAGGAGTTGTCGACCACCGAGATTGAACACCAGGTGCGTCTAAACGTCTCTTCCTACTCCCGCTCCATCTTCTACCTCCTGTACACGCCCTTCGTGGATGTAATATCGGTGCTGCTGGAGCGTGGGCTTGCGCCGGATGTCGCACACCCGGGAGAAATGATGTGCCGTTGGTTTACGGACGGCGCTTTGACGCTGCAGAACACTGCTTCCGTTGAAGAGGGAATGGGAGCAGAGAACTGGCGGAAGTTTTGTGAGGGACTTGATGCCTTCTACGAAGAAGTGGAGCCGATTATGCCGCTGACGGCGGCGGTGCGGAAACACGGGCTGCCGGAGGACTTGTTGGTGCCGTTTCTCCGTCAGCTCTCAATGGACCTGCTGGTGCCTCTGCGCAAGCGGGCCGTGCTGGAGATTCTGCCCGGTCTCATTCTTGGGCTAGCGAATGGCCGCGCCCCGACTGCATTGGGGTTTCCCACCGACAGCCAGCGTGCACGAGCCATCATGGTGGCCGATCTCTTTCTTGGGGTTGGGCAGGAAACAGGCAACACAGACCTGGCGTATCTTGGCATCCAGCTTCTTCGTGCAAATGACATTCCCGTGCCGTTCCCAAAGCAAAAGCAGCTGACAAATGTTTTCTCTGCCGCCACACGAATTCATACGGACTGGCAGATGCGAGTCAGCGGACAGCTTGTAGAGGTTCTGCCTAAATGGATGGAGTACTACAAGAAGGTTCATTTGGATAATCTTAGGGCCATAAAGGGACTCAGTGAGGCGGATTCAACAAGTGCGGTGAAACAAGATGATGACGATGGGGAAGGGATTGATGTCCTGAAAGCGAAGAGGGCCATCCATGCAATTGGTGATGACGTTAACGCTGCAGGTAAACAAACTGATAAGGACAGCAACAGTGATGGCGTGCATGGTTACTTCTCAAGTCATCGCACGGAGAATTTGCTGCGTCTTTCCGCTCTGGAGAGTCAAGTATTGACGGCCGTGCGTCGCAGGATGGTTGCGTGGAATGATGACAGCAACAAGCTATACTACCGCTTTCGGCGGAGGAGGTCAGCCACTGAGGAGCCGAAGGTGGAGGAAACAGACGTGCCGAAGGAACCCACCGAGGAGGAGGGGGAGGAGGATGCAAGGCGCGTGGATGCCGCGGAAGATGTGGTGCTGATGGAAGACGGACGCCGCAGGCGAAGGGCGAAGACACACACGCAGGCAGATGAGGAGGAGCCCAAAGTGAATCCTAAAGGGCGTCGGTCAAGGAAGAAAACGACGATCGCCGCTCCCGTAGACGATGATAGCGGCAGTACATTCACTCTGACCGTGTAGTCACGGCACATGCTGGTGGTGGGGGCACAACATGTTTTTTTTTTTTCTTGGGGGCTGAGTCATGCCGGAGGAGTCCCACCGGTGTCGTACCACAAGGGCCAAAAGAAGCACGCACACGTACACACACGAAAACAACAAAAACAACAACAACGGAAGGAAAAGACGCAAACAACACCGCTATTGGCACCATTTTCATTGACTCCTGGACCTTTTTTTTTTTCTTCCTGTTGGTGTTTCTTGTCGTTGGCTACATGCACGTAATATACATCCGTACATGCGTGCATCTACTTGGGTAGGACGCGCTGGGTTTATGTGTGTTTTTTTGTTGTTTGTTTCTGTCATTTCATTTTCGGAATCATCTTATCACGTTCTTTAAAATTTTCCATTATTTGTGTGTCTGTGCGTGGAGGAAGTGGCTGTGGGGTTGAGCTACGACCTATTAATTTTGCGTGCATTTTCCTGATGCCCTGCTGTTCTTTTCACACCAGACGTATCCGGTTTATCTCACTTCCTTTTTTTCTTATTTGCTTTTTTTTTTTTTTTTTGCGTCGCAGAGAGGTGGCTTGCGGGGTGAGTGGTTGTGTGTGTCTTTGGTGGACCGGCAAACTCCGAAACAGACTGGGCAACAAAAAAAAAAAAAAAAGGAGTGACGCGGAGGCCAGGAACTAAAAACAAGCAAACAAAAAAAGGGTGAGAAGGAGGCGTAAGTTTTCTGTGAGGGTTTATTGTGTTTTTTTTTTTTTGGTTTGGTGCGGTGCGATGGGTGTTTTTGGGCTGCGCAGGTTCATTGACGCCTCCTCCTGCACGAGATTTCTCCCCGAAACCGCGCAGGATGCGGAGGAGCCCTTAGCCGCCCGTGATCTCGACAAGACGCATGGGGCGGCCGGTAACTCGGCGCTTTCTTCGAGCCCTGCGGCGACGCCATACGCGGATCACGTTCTTGTGGATTTGAACTGCATCATTCACTCCTGTTTCGGCCGTGATGCGGCAACGATGAGGAAGCGGGATGTCGTGCAGGCCGTGCTGGAGAAGCTGCGGGCGTTGCTGACGCTGGTGGTGGTCCCGCGGGTGTCCTTGACGATATGCATCGATGGCCCTGCACCGTACGCGAAACTCCACACGCAACGACTTCGAAGGCGGCGGTTGGCGCTGCTCGACACGGGCAGTGCGCAGCAGTTGACGTCACTTGCCGTGACGCCCGGCTCCCTCTTTCTTGTGGAGTTGGAGAACGCCTTGGCGGCGCAGTTCAAGCTG